GGAAAGAGATTTTCACATGACAGAAGAGAATGGACAGAAACAATTAAGGAAAATTTCCTGAACTACAAGAGTTTGTCACTAAAAGATACTCCAGCACACATGGATCTGAATTTGACTGAGACTACTTGTCTACTTGAGTTCAACTTGTTCTAGGACGAGTAAACAGCAATCAATGGTAAACTCCATCATTTACTAATATGAAATATTGCCTATGTGCCAAAAAGAAATTTTCCTTCCAAAAACCTTCAAGACAAAATCATTTAGGAGTAGTTTTATGAGCAGCAGAACCACTGAAAACTTGTTTCTTTCAAGCATGTTTTGAGGTTGAGTTTTTGCATGGATTTGCTGGCATCTAATACAGCAAATTCATGTTGCAGCCTCCCCGTCATGGGACTCTGCACACATACAATTTTCACTAGATAGCTGCCTATCTTTCATAAAACATCAAAGAAAATAATATCCTCCTGTTGTCTTATATTTCAATTTAGCAGAAATTAGGCAATGGTCTCCAATATTGTTGGGTGCAGGGAATAGTCAGACAGAGAGACAATGCAATTGCACAAGCATTTCTGAGGCAACCCAGCTAAATGCATGTGACACACAAAAGCTGCACCTCTAAAACAGTGGTCCAAGCAAAAATAGACAGACACAGAATCTCTCAATGGACAACTCAGTCATTAATTGCAATCTTATCAATTCAATTACAGTGGAAACTTGGGACAAAAATACCAAACACTAATGAAATTATTAACATATAAAACCCAAACATACAAACAAACAGAACACATCTTCTGCAAGGACTTTGAACAAGTAGACAGCAAAGAGAAAAATGAAGAGAACAAAAGTCAAGCAGAACATTGTTGAACAAGCTGAACAACAATGTCCGTGAAAGCTAATGCCATGCTTCTTTCAGCAGAAAGGCACTTTTAAAATGTGAAAATTGCAGTGGAAGAAGTAAAGATGTCTTTCCATATCCCTGAAAATGCAGAGTTTGATTTCTTAGAGAACAAGACACTGCATGTAGGTATATCACAGACAAATAGGTAC